ACATACAATGTAAACCAATGTTACTACAATTAAAAAAAAAAACATAAAAATAACTTCATCAAGGAGTCAGAGACATCTTCCTATCCTAGTAATAATTTCTATATGATAAATTTTCCAATCCATTTCTTTTTGTTTCCAACCAGATTCTTAAGAAAGGATTCTAACTCCCTTATTCCCTATATTCTTCATTATCGTTCTTCCTGCCAGATGATACACATCTGTCTTTTGGTCACAGGATCTTTTTACTCAAAGTATGCTCTGTGGACCAGTAGCTTCTGCATAACTTGAGAGTTTAGTAGAAATGCCTACTTTTCACAGGATGAAGCAGGGGTAGGGAGGGATGGGAGGCCGGGCTTGCTCTCTAGAAAGAAAGCTATCTAAAATAAAATTGCTCCAGTGATTGGCATACAACCTTCCATTTTTGCTTTCTTAGGTGAAATGACTACCAAAAATTTTAAATTGTGACTGATTCTGATAGTCAATTCCTTTTAGTAACTGGAAACAGTTAAACAGTTAAACAATAGTTTGTGCCTAGGAGTATAACCTCATTCAAGAAGAGATTATGAAAGCAGAGCCAAGAATCATGTGTTCTCTCTTCCTTCTGGATCCACAAGGGTGCCTCACTAGTGCCAGCTGTCGAGAGCACAGAACATTTTCTTGAGGCAGTCCCAAGAACAAGGAAGTAAGGAGAGTGTGATTGTCCTCTGGGGCTAAGCTATGAAATCAAGACATCAGAGTAGAAAGATACAAAATACTCTTAAAGAGACCCAATAGCTTCAGGACCATGATACTAGACAGTAAGCTGATAAAATATATTAAAATATCTAAAAGAAAAATATTTTTGTCTCCAGGGGTGACTGAAGTCAAGGAGGCTTACACAAGGAGGATTTTAGGGCCAAATGCTAGGGGTGTCCATCCAAGTGGCCCAGGCAACACCTTGGATCTGTCTGTTGTGAGATAAAAGAAAGTCTATTTTTATGATTGTAGCTCTCAGTCATAAAAGTGCTAATAAAATTGTCCAGCTTTCTGAGGGGGGCTGTGCTACTGAATAAAATGACAAAAGGACTGGATTAAGGAAGGAAGGCTGGGGCCACAGAATTCTCTAAGTGACCTCGTTTGGATCCATGTTCTCCACATCAGCTTGCCAGTAAAATCTACCTTCCCACATTCCAGGCCTTCAAGGAGATGTAACAGGGTAATCCCCAGAAAAGGGGAGATTCCAGGTTCTCTGTTTCACCCAAGGAAGGGTAGAACTGAACAAAGAAGGAAAAGATTGGGAGAAGGAAGGAAGGAGATCAGGAAGAAGACCTGGAGGAGGCACATGGGCAGAGAGACACGTGAAGAAGCTGTGCTTGCTTCTCAGCCTTGGACTTGTACCAGGGACTTGGGGGACAGGGAAGGAGACGCTTGAAACAGACATGATGAGAGACCCGAGGGAAGGGTGACAGTGGCAGACTTTATCTTGACTTATGCTCTTTTCATTACAGACTGCCTGGCCCTTTCTGGCCCTTTCTTAGGGGTCTCCACCAGAGGGTGCCTTAGATTTGTGGCAGCTTTTGGACCTCAGTGGCCCTGATTTGGGCCAATCCTGTTTGTCTGGGCATTTACCCATGAGAGATGGGTAACTTTGAGTGTTTATTTAAGAAAGGAAACTCTATTTTTTCTCTTTCTCTTCTCTTTTCTTTATCGCACAATAATTGTATTAAAGCTATTTTTTATTGAAAGTCTTATACACTAGAGTATGTTTTATCTTGATGTGGCAGATGGCAGAACCCATTAAGAGCCAGCAGGTTTGGGGGTTCCAGGGTGCCCTTCACACTTCCTATAACATTGGGATGGCTCTCACCCTGCCCTGTAATAGAGAGGAGGCACCTTCTCCTAGCTCTGTATAAATTAGTGAATTGGCATCTTTTGCTTTATTTAATTCCTATGATTTAATTTAACAGGAATGAATCTTAGGAGATAGAACTATTATCTCAGTGTAATAAAAATTGTTTTATCAGGTTGACTCTTGGCAAGATCACTAAAATAAAGTCACCCAGAAGCCTCTGGGAGGGGGCCAGGAGGGCCAACTACGCTTACCCACTCTTCACTCTGTATGTATTCAGTGCTTTCTTTTGAAAATTTCCCACCAACCTGAGCTAGTTCATGATTGTTCTCTAAGATGTTTGATTATAAACATGTAATTTTTCTTATTCAGAATCATTATTAATCAAGGACATGCAAATTATAAAAAATTAGCAAAGGGGAAAATAGGCATAGGGTCTAACAGAAAAGGCAGTCTCCATAGTGATGGTGAGGTATAATAAACTAGAAACACCGAATGTCTTGCAGGTACATGTGTATTTCTGAACCAGCAATTCTACTTCTAAGAATTTATCCTTGCCTATAAATAAAGGATATGAATAAAGATTTAACTATACTGTTATCTTCTAGAGCAGCTCACAATAGATAAAACTTGGAATCATGTAAATATTCAGGGGATGAGATTGATCAAATAAATATCTATACTGACATTTGCAATATGTTACAGAAATGCATTTACTGGCCAGGAAATATATAAACAGTGTATTTTTATTTTCTTCTTTTCACTGGGTTGCATTTTCTAATTTTTCTTTGAGATTTATTTATTTATTTTCGCGTAGATAAACTGGGGTGTAGGCCAGAGGTGTGGGGATGGGGGTGAGAAGATTCACCAGAGACAGAATGGGGAGTAGCGCAGGTGGATTTATTGAAATACACTGATGAGGGGAGCAGGAGAGGTCTGCTGTGCCTTATATGGGTTAGTTCCCTGGCCAGGGATCAAATTCGGGCTGTAGTTGTGATAGCCTAAGATTTAACCCCTAGGCCACCAGGGAGGCCCCTTCTAATTATTTTTCATTTTTTTCCATTTTTTTTTTAAGATTTATTTATTTATACAAGCACTGGGTACAGTCAGAAGAGCAGGAGGGTGAGAGAATTTACCAGAGCCAGAGCGGGTTGCAGAACAGGCAGAAGGACCGAAGTACACTGCTGAGGGGAGCAGCGGGCGTGGCAGGAGAGGTCTTCGTGCCATGTGGGACCCTTGCTGGTGGCCGGGGATCAAACCGACGCTGCAGAGGCTGCAGGCAGCTTCGTAGCCCAGCGCTCAACCGCTGCACCACCAGGGGAGGCCCATTTTTTTCCATTTTTTAAATTTTTTAAGATTTATTTATTTATGCATATAAGAACTGGGGTGTAAGCCAGAGGTGCAAGGGATGAAAGGATTCACCAGAGAGAACGGGGAGCAGAACAGGCAGATCCACTGAAATATACTGCTGAGGGGAGCAGTGGGCAAGACAGGAGAGGTTTGCTCAGCAATGTAGGTAGTTTCCTGGCCCGCCAGGGATCGAACTCATGCTGTAGTGGCTGGTGATAGTTTGATAGTGCTGTCTTTAACCCCTGTGCCACCAGGGAGGCCCTGTAATAATTTTTAATGAACATTTATTACCATACATATAGCCGTAGTTCTGACTCAAAGTTGAGGAGTTGCCTCTGTCTCAATAAAGAACAGAATCCAGGGATTGGATTGAAGATGACTCCTACACAAAGCCCTCTCAGCAAATGAAAGGCAAAAAGGTACCAATGGCTTATGTACATTTATCCAGATGAGTAGGCTATTGCCCCACTTTGAAGAGACTAAGCCAAGATGTGACCAATCATTCCTCTATGCTGCTTAATGCAACTGTTTCAGTTAAGAAAACAAAGGTGCCTCTCTAGCTGTGTTGACCCAAGGTATTTTAATAAATTTGTTTTTAACAATCTCTTTGTTAAGTGTCCTATATACAGTAGTAAGAAATTCCAATCACAAAGTGCAACCCACTGCTATTCTAAGATTTTCTGAGGTGTATAATATAATATTACACTTCTTTCAAGATACCTCAGACTGGGCCTCCCTGGTGGCCTAATGGTTAAGTATCAGGCTATCACCACTACCACATGAGTTCAGTCCCTTGTCAGAGACTACCCACATGGCCCAGAAGACCTCTCCTGTCTTTCCCACTGCTCCCCTGAGCAGTGTATTTCAGTCAATCCGCCTGTTCTACTCCCCACTCTGTCTCTGGTGCATCCTCTCACCACTTGCATTTCTGGCCTACGCCCCAATTCCTCTATGCAAAAATAAATAAATAAAATCTTTAAAAAAAAAAAGATACTTCTGGGCCTCCCCTGGTGGCGCAGGCGGTTGAGCGCCATGCTGTGCAGCTGTCCGCAGTCTCTGCAGCGCTGGTTCGATCCCCGCCGGCCAACAGGAATCCCACATGGCTTGATAGACCTCTCCTGTCTCTCCCGCTACTCCCCTCAGAAGCATATTTCATCAGTCTGCCTGTTCTGTTCCCCACTCTGTCTCTGGTGAATCCCCTTACCCTCCCGCACATCTGGCCTGTACTCCAGTTCTATAAATAAACAAACAAACAAACAAACAAATAAATAAATAAATAAATAAATAAATAAATCTTAAAAAAAAAGATACTTCAGAATGAATTGATGAACTGAAGAAGAGAAGAAAGAGAATATGATAATGCAAAAAGGTCTACTTTGTGACCCAGACTGTCATTTCTTATTGTGAAACCTCCTATGCTTTTAACAAGCCTCATCAGTCTGTGCACCAGAGAACAAGCTGGCCTCTCAGAAGTTGACTAGGGACACTGGTCAGCTGCTGCAGGAGAGTTATGTCTCTGTTCTCTTTCGTGACCTAATAATGACTCCATGCCCAATTTCCAAAGAGGCATTAATTGAAGAGAAGTAATTGACATTGCTACATCCGGCCTTGAATCATCTTTCTGTAACATCTGTGTTTTCTCAAGTGACATGCATTTGGAGATTTTCTATAGGACAGAGGTATAAATTTATGTTTCCGGGCCTGAAAGGGAACCATCCAGGAAGCCCCATCTTCCCAGGCCTCCATGTCGGTTACCGTTAACAGATGCAAACCAGCACTGGGTAAAGTAAGTGAACCGCAAAGGGATAAAAGTCTTACTTACGGACACACATTTCTCTGCTTTCATAAAATCCAGGACAACATTGGGATTTGCGCCTGTACATAGTTTTTTCTCCATGTCGATAGGCAGTCCGATAACTGATTCTATATAGAGGAGAAAATCATAGTTACTTTTTTTCACCCCCAAATTGATTAGAAATCAGGCTTTATGTTTTAATACACAAGAATTATTAAATATAGTAAAAATACGAAAAACAAAGAACTCCAAAATAAATAAGAATAAACACAGAATATATGTTTTGACCACAGAATATATGTTTTGACCACTATAATGTTCTTATCAATTTGCTAAGAATTGATTTATTTAATTATTAAGAATATACTGACTGCCCATTTAAACCCAGATATACTTCATTTTAAGAGGGATCAGAATTTTCATTACTTCATTACTTAATTTATCTTAAGATAACTTAAAAAGTAGAGCTCAACTTCATATATGATACTTATCTAGTCATCTTTCACTTAGAGGTTTTAAAAGAAAAATTCAGGGAATCTGTTTAAAAATTGATGTCAATGCAGTATCACCCCACTATAAAATAGAAGGTTAATAGACAAAAGACCTTTGCATTTAACTAAAGTTTCATTCATTCACCAATTCATTTATATAATACACATCCACTGAGGATTTACTATATTCCAGGCACTATTCTAGGCACTGGGGAAAAGAGATCACAGTGAGCAAAAAAATAAAGAGCCCTTGTCTGCAAGGAACTTACATTTTACTGAGGAAGAATTTCTTCCTGGCATAATTAAGACACACATTAAACAAATGTACATTATATTTAATATTATTTAACATATAATAAATATATATGGATATATTTGTTTGGTATATATGTTTACTTATTAATGAATGATTAAATGCTGTGAGGAAAAACAAAACTTGAGCGAAGGAACAGAGTATGACAGAGGGAACCTACAATAGTTTACATGGTGTGGTCAAGGAAAGCTTGTCTTAAAAATATGACATTATGCTTAATATCATTGAATGCAGTCCTAACTGACACTTTACCCATGACTCATACTACTATTCTATGAAAAAAAATTAAGGTATCAAGGTTTCCTTCCCTATTATCAATATTTAATAAGTTGTCTTTATTTTCTGTTTTCACATTTTTTTAAAAGATTTTATGTATTTTTGTGTAGACGAACTGGGGTGTAGGGTAGAGGTACAGGGAGCAGAAGAGGCAAATCTACTGACATATACTGCTGAAGGGAGCAGCAAAACAGGAGTGGTCTGCTGCGCCATATGTGGGTTAGCTCCCTGCCCAGGGATCGAACTCAGGCCACTGCAGTGGGCTGTGCAGTGGTAGCACTAAGCCTTAACCCCTAGGCCATCAGGGAGGCCCCTGTTTTCTGTTTTCACATTTATAGTAAAAATATGTGGCTTATTTTATTTCAGTTGAGATCAAATTTCAGTTAGACTAAGTTGAGTCAGGTGTTTGACTATAAACTTACGCAAGGACGTGAGTTTTTTATCATATGATGATGCCAAAATTTAAGAATGTCCCCCTCCAAAATTGTGTACAATACAAAAGTTGCATAATTTTTAGTAGATAGTAATTTGTAGATATTTCTCTGCAAACTCCTTAAAGGCATAGACAATCTTTTTGCTGTGATTTGGAACAAGGCTGGGCCAACTGCAAGCAGTAACTATTCACTAGATAAATACATACACCTTCTCAAGTATTTCATATCTCTAACAGAATCCATTTCTGGTTATCAAAACTCATATGTGAGATTCCATTACCTGTGCCGCGTGCATTTAAACCAGTTCAAAATGTCAGTACAGCTTGTGTAGTAAATTTGATCAAAGGGATGTGGGTATGATTCTTGCACAGTCACTGAGTAGCTGCAAAGAAGAGGAAAGATAAGGTATCAGTATTTCTTACAATATTAGAAGAAATATAATCTACAAAAAATAATTGTAGGCTAAATTATCTCTATTTACAACTCCATAATGACTTTTTACAGAGAACCTCCATGGTTTTACAGATTTTGATTTGAGCTAAAAACTACAATAGGAGCAATGTTAATAATTTTTTAAAACACAAGAGATCATGCAATCCATTTTTTTGAAGTTCTCTTTTTTACTGTTCACTATAAACTCTGATAGTCATAAATTTAAAAACATATCACCATATGTTTTCCTGTATTTAATTTCCTTCCCTCACCCCAACGGTACCAGAATAACTAAGACCTTTAACAAGATGTTTTCAAGGCAGATCATAAAATTAATGAGCAGGGACAATTTGAGTATTCATAGCAGTGCATTTTGCAGCTGATTCTAGAAATTCAGAAAGCGCCTATTTCTCTATTTGGAACTTGGAATTACTTTCTTTCATGTTTCCGTCCTACTTCTAGGGCAGTAGAAGAATACACTCAACCTCTAAATAAAAGCTACAAAGAAGTCTTCTCACCTGATTCTATACATGTGGCTCAGACAATTAGACTGAAATAATCATATCAACAGCTGCTCCTTAGACTGTTTTCCAACACATTTTCACTAACAGTTTCTTGTTAAAATAAAAGCATGAAACCCTAAAGGTCTAAAAGCATCCATGAAATATAAAGATCATTCAATGTTCAATCCTACCCATCTTCCTTTCTAAGACAGTCTACTATGTGCTCAAGAGCTTAGCGTTACTACCTACAGAAAAATCTGGAGAATCTTCTCACAACCAAAATGCTGAGGGAAGACCCCCTGTAACCAGAATAATTATGAAAATGAACTCAAAATGATGGACCTCAAATTAAGTAGGCAGGTGGCTGGCTGTGCCAGGACCTGAGACTCAGCTCATATCCAGCATTCTCAGAATGTTGCCAAACCCCTGCAGGTGCCTGCTCAGAATCTGCAAAGTCCTCAACTACCTACATGGTAGGAACCAGTGGGCACAATATTGTGGTTTGGACTCAAATATCAACCAATTTGGGGTTGTTTTCATATCTGTGACTTTTATCACTAATTCTGTGGTTTTTGCATTTATAAACCTTCAACTTGCCCACACTAGGGGAGCATTTTCAACTTTTACCTGAAAACCGTGTTCCCCATTTTGCAAACCTCTTGCAGTAAAGGCTACATGTTTCTTCCAAAAGTGGTTTTTGGTTGACACTCTTTTCCAAGAAACTTCTTCTATTTCCCTTACCAATCTCTTAAAGATTTCCACCAAAATATTTAATTCACACTAACAAAGTAATAAGTCATCATCAGACTCACTTGCTGCAAATTAATAGCCTGACCATTAATAGGAACTATCAACTGGAGACAATATGGAAGAAGAGAGGTCGAAATAGGAGACAAGTTTTTTATTTGAAAATTATGTATTGTCAGTCTCGCAAAGGGGAGTTTCTCTCTCCAGCTGATCTCTCTTAGCCATGTCGTTAGATTTCAACAGGACATTATGAAATAATCATACCACCCACACTTGTGTTTACATCTTTGGGACACTACAAATTGGTTTTCAGGTAAATTTTATTCACCATGGGCCCTACGTGATAAGATCACTGAGTTTGAAAGAAAGTTGGGTTATAATCTCGATTTGACCCTGAGAAACTGGATGATCTTCAGTAGAAAACCCCGATTTCTTGGGTTTTGATGATCACATCTTAAAACCAGGAGTCAGGGATGGTATTGACCATCCTTTCCCATTTGACATTCTGAATTTCTCTCACATACATTTTATTTATTTATTTTTCCTGAAGAAAAACTGACATATAACATTATATTAGATTCAGGTATACCTGATGTATATGATTCAATATTTGTATATACTGTGAAATGATCACCACAAAAAATCTAATTAACATTTATCACCACACATAGACACACATTTTTTTCCTTGTGATGAGAACTTTTAAGATCTACTCTCTTAGCAATTCAAAAATGCAAAACAAGGGCCTCCCTGGTGGCTCAGGTGGTTGAGTGGAGCGCTGTGAAGCTGTCCGCAGGCTCTGCAGCACAGGTTCTATCCCAGCTGGCTCTGGGAGATTTCCACATGGCTCAGCCGACCTCTCCTGTCTCACCTGCTGCTCCCCTCAGCAGTGTATTTCAGTTAGTCTGCCTGTTCTGTTCCCCACTCTGTCTCTGGTGAATCCTCTCATCCTCCTGCACATCTGACCTGTACCCCAGTTCTTATATAAATAAATAAATCTTTTAAAAAATTATTTTAAAAAATGCAAAACAAGATTATTAACGATAATCTCCATGCTATATATTACATCCTTCTAACATACATTTTAGAGAACTATTTCCTTCTATTCTGACAGATGATAACCTGCTATTGTCAGGACAGGTTTGGATGAAGGTAGAGTGTGTAAACACCCATATGCAAATATATAACTCTTTTTCGGTAAAACAAAAAAACATTGTTAAAATATGTGTTGCTGTATGAAATATCACATTAAGCTATTAGTATTTTTTTCAGAGCCCAAGCAGTGCTCTGAGGTTCAGGTTGATGCATCCAAGACTTCCTTGCCATTCTCTGTCCTTCTGATCTTACTTATATTAGTGAATTTTGAGGGCTGAAGCATTATTTCTCCATTCAATTTCTAGTGGACAGAAAAGTGAATGAATCATCTTTTGGATAGGGAATTGCTATACAGGCACAATGTTGCATGTGCAAAACAGAGCAACTTTCCACATAGGAGATGCTAGATGAATGAAAAAGAAACTACTCTAAGTTAATGCTGATTGGGCAAAAAATAATCTTCAACCAGGTTATACAGTACTCATTTACCTGGTGCAGAATTTCCATAAAATTCCAAAGGCCATGTTATTATGTTAAGGTATGTATACCTTGGAAAGCAAAAGTGATCATCAAGAACCAGATCCTGGGGCCTCCCTGGTGGCGCAGGCAGTTGAGCGCAGCACTGTGAAGCTGTCCACGGCCTCTGCAGTGCCGGTTCGATCCCTGCCAGCCTCGGAGCAACCCACATGGCGAGTAGACCTCTCTGTCTCACCCGCTGCTCCCCTCAGCAGTATATTTCCTCAGTCTGCCTGTTCTGTTCCCTGCTTTGTCTCTGGTGAATCCTCTCACCATCCCGTGCATCTGGCCTGTACCCCGGTTCTTGTATAAATAAAAAAATAAATCTTTAAAAAAAAAAAAAAAGAACCAGATCCTGGCCAAACACATTCTATTTGATGTAGATGGGAGAACTGATTCCACAAGAAAACATGAAAAATGTTTTCATTTACTTCTAACTGCCTAGAAGATTCTTAAATAAAGGGAAATGTTAAAAGTACACGAATTTCCTCTTCTTTCGATTTGTTGTTTATCCATAGCAGACATTTGCAGGATTCTTCTCTGACTCTGGGATATAAAAATGTTCTTCTCTAGAAAGGGGCAATCAAAACATTTAGAATTCCAATTCATATTTAGAGGCTCAAGCTCAATACAGAATGGACTGAATATAAGTTACTTTTCACAATTATGAGAAACTGAGGCTTCCACATAAGTTTGCAAGAAAAGGGCTGTAAATCTTTCACCCCAAATTTCCTTTCTGTTCTTTCTTTATGCATTCTTTTTCTTTTCTATACTATTATTTTTTTTTCCATTTTAAATTGTATTATAAAAGAGCTACAAAATTTGGAAAACAATTTTTAAAAAAGAGAAAATCCATAATTCTGACATAACCACCAATGCCATTTAGCTAAAATAAACTTCTTCATAGACTGTAGGGGGTTTTAGTTTTAGTTTATTTTTTGTTGTTGTTGGTTTTAAAATCATTATAATCATACAATGCACATAATTTTGAAACTTACTTTTTTAACCTGAGTATATCATAAGTATGTTTCCACATTAGTAAACAGTCTTCAAATTATGACTGCCGAATATTCCAGAAATGACTGCACCTAATTTGTTCAATATTCACCTCTTATCGTTAAATAAGTTGTCGCTTTCCAAACACACCTTCTGAAAGCTGTGTGTTTGCATCATTAAGGGAGAAATTTTCAAGAAGGAACCAGGCTTCAGTAGTTCTTTATTATGGTTTCTGGTAGACTGCTATTTAAACTTAGTGTATCTGGGGCCTCCCCGGTGGCGCAGCGGTTGAGCGCTGGGTTGCGAAGCTGCCCGCGGCCTCTGCAGCGCCGGTTCGATCCCCGGCTGCTCCCAGGCCACCAGAGGAGGGTCCCACATGGCGCGCAGACCTCTCCTGCCGCCCGCTGCTCCCCTCAGCAGTGTACTTCGGTCCCTCTGTCTGCTCTGCTCCCCGCTCTGGCTCTGGTGAATTCTCTCACCCTCCCGCGCTTCTGACTGTACCCAGTGCATGTATAAACAAAACAAACAAACAAACAAATAAATAAAACATGCCTCTATAAAAAAAAAAAAAAAAAAAATAAAAAAAAGGCAATCCTGATAAAAAAAAATAAATAAATAAACTTAGTGTATCTGTTAGAAGTTTATGGCTCCACATTCATCAGCATAAAATCACAAGGTGGAAAGGAAACTTCTCAATTATCTAGTCCAGCCCTTTTTAACACAAAAGAGCAACACGGAGCTCCTAGTGGTCAGTCTAGAGGCAGCACCAACACTAGGACCCCCTACACCTTTCTGCCCCTTTGTCTTTCTCATATGTCACTGGAACATTCACAAGCTTCTAAAGCAGAAAGCAAGTTGCAAACTGGTATAAAAGGAATTGGATCCCAATTTTACACTCTTTTAGCATTGCAATGCAAGACTCACTCTCTTGCTTTTTTGTTTATTCTTCTCAAACACACTGAAAAATGTCATCACTGTGATTTTAACATATTAAGTATTATCCAGGGAGAAACTCCAACAAGATTTATTTTAAGGTCAAAGGGAGGGGAGAGGGGGAAGGAGGAGGAGTCATCACTTGGGCATATTCCAAAGTGGTTAATTACATTTTATCTGCCTAAATAATCTTGTTACTTTAATCAGATATGTTAAGAAACATCTTCTTTTTTTTTAATCTCTGCTCACTTTAGGACTGTTGCTTCAATTACTACCACTTCTGTGGTCCACCCTCAAGGGGTTGGACAGAGAATGACTTCTCTTCATGTACCCCTTCTTTAGAAGAAACCCCCACTAGATGGACCTACTTGTACTGACAGAATAAGGAGAAGGGATGGGCAGAAGAAACAGATCATTCATGGAATTATTCATTTTCCAAAAGGATGCTGTACAGAATTTCTTTGATAAGAAGCACCTCTTGTGTATTTTAAATAACTTCATTTTCCTTAATTTCATTCTATGTACAATTTGTAAGAATCACAATTGTGCATAAAAATGAGGCATACTTTCATTTGAAAATAAAAAATTTCATGTAGCTCCACTACCCACCTTCTGAGAAACAAGGCTCCAGGTGATCCTGTGGCTCAGGACATTGTCCACATGGGTTTCAGCATCAGGAAAGCCTACAATAAACCTTACTCAACCCAAACTACCAGGAGTTTTGTCCTTGAAGCTAACCTTCCTCTCCCAGTTTCAATTTAAGCCCATTTCAATTTTTGAAGGTATAGGAGAACCTGTTGCCTGTACCTTTATTTGAATCATTTTAATTTATACTCCTTTCTCCATTTTGTCAAAACAAGTCCATTCTTTTACTTATCTTCAGAGAACCATTATCAAGCCTCATGCAGGAAATTTATCAATAAAAAGATCATAGCTGTCAATCTTTCTTTCTGGCAGTTCATAGAAAAATTATAGTCAGAAAAAAAACTCCATCATTTCTCTGTGTTTTCACGCTCAATTTCCCTCCCCATTACTGAATATTTTAGAGGTTATTATAATCACTTGTGCAACAATGGAATCATATTAGAGATTAATGTGTCCCTTGTCTGTCTCTCTCGTCCTCCACTGCACCCTCCCCACTGATGTCCACATTTAGTCATTTCATTTCCTATCAGAAGATGAGCTTATTCATGCAACAATTATTTATTGAGCATATACCATATGCAAGGCAGTGTTTTAAACACTGGGAATTATAAATGGTGACTATAACAATGCAATTATGTGCAGGGAAGTCTGGGCAAATACTGAATAAGGAATCAGGACAAAACATGCACATATGAATGGATGCTAGATTTTTTGAATTCTTTGATTCTTCTCTCTCTATAGCCCTTCCCTTATAGTGTTCATCTTTTCATACCTCATCATGCTAGGGACTCCCAAGCCCATTTTCCTAAACATTAAAATACATTTTATAAACAATATGGAGAAACTACACTAATTTTTTCATTCTCAAATCCTTTTCCTTTCATTTTTCTCTATGTGCAGCATCATCTTTGCTTCTTTAGACAGCAGTTTCTAACCCTTTGCCTTTTGTTGCCTTTTTCACATTCCACCTTCCATGCATCACCAAGATCGGTCAACTCTCATTTCATAAAAGCTTACAAATTTGATTTTTCCTCCCATTCCAAAGCTATCATCCTCCAAGAAATTCAACCACCAATAGCCAGTACTTTTTAAAATTTAATATGCATCCACTAATGTATTCATTGATTCATTTATTACTTTAATAAATATTTATTATTTAATTTGATGGTGTAATGTTTTATGGGAGGTGCCATGAAGAATATAAATAGGAGGGCCTTCCTATTTAAATTCAGTATATTTAATAACAAAAATGTAGAGAACTTTATTACATACACATACATCATCTACAGTTTAAAGTTTCATAATGATATATATTCCATTGATTGATCAGGGAAACATGTTTATGTCACCCTGATCATAATATTGTCCGTGGAGATGGGGATGAGGCATCATTGAAAAATACTACAGTGTGTGAGGTAACAGTGTTCCCCTAAGATAATATAGTTCCTGTGCTTGAAAGACTGAGCTTTCTTTTTTTCTTTTTACCATTGGGTGACAACAGTGATTAAAATGTATATTCTGATGTGCTAGTTGTGATTCTGAGGGTGACAGGAAAAAATACCAAGAGTTTGATATAACTGCATCTACAGCTAATAAAAATACATATTACTCTCCAGTACTTGACACCTTCCATTTGTTTGAAAAACTTGCATTTGCAATGTTATTTTTGAAATAAAGATACTTTCTAAGGAATGCAAGTTGCATATTAAAGAAGTAGACTTTATTTGATTTTATTTTAGATTTTACTTGCACATTAAAGTAGCAGACTGCATTTGATTATACTGCAATATTACTGCAAGGTTTGCACTATTTTGGGTTACAGGAGGTAATATAACACCCGTGAGATGGGCCTATTATATTGTGCTTCATCTGAATTTCCCATACAAATTGCCCAAATCTGGACATTTCATTTTCTGCTTGCATAGAATCTAGTCAAACCTGCCCTCCTCCAATACTGTACTGACTCTAGTCTTGTTGAGCACAGCCTTTGTGGTCCCTATGGCACTGGTGTTCTGTTGCCTTCTATTCCTAGAACCTTTCCCAATCCACTGTCATCCACTCATACTATTCAGTTCTTTGAGAACACCTCAGGTGATACTACCTCCACATAGTCATTCTAGTTCCTCCCAGAAATGATGTCTCCCTTTTCAGGCCATCAACAGGACATTATGTTTAAGCCACACATCTCAACACTTTAGTACATTATTCCATTCTGTCTTCCACTTTTCACCCACTGGTTCCCTTGCAAGTCCAATTGATTATTACAAATCAAGTTAGAGCAAAGAGAAGGCATTTTTCTGAATCACTTTAGTTCAGCTATTAATGTTTTCTCTGAACCTTACAATGTTAGAATCAACATATCATTTTTTTCATATAATATTCTGTAAGGTCAAGGTGAATAATAACTACCCAATTTATTACATAAAACTAATGATTTTAACATAAAGATAATTTCAAAATTTCCTCTCAAATTCTAATTTTATATATCAGACCAATAGTGATAGTATATTAAGGAACTTATTAGATATTATCTCTCAGATTACTTTGAAAATGATTACCTTTCCCAGTGGCTACACACATTAGGGTCTTCAAGATTCAAGGGTGATATTGTCCTGATCCAGTGGCAAAGCAGTAAACAGATAAAGCCGAGGCATGAGTTCAAAGAAATAACCATTTTTTTTCCTGAAGAGCAACCTACAAGGGGAGGAAAGAAATCGATGTTAAAGATGCATTAAAATGACCCAGACAGAATTCTATTCAATCCAGCAACCATTTGGTACCAGTTGTCACTAGGGCTGAAACATGCATAACAAGTCATGTATTTAAATAGATGTGGCACCAGATTTCATGGTCCAGGAGAGAGAGGTATTTCTTATGTTGTACAGGGTGGCCACCGTTTTGTAAATTACTAAAATGTGCAAATCATCGTTAATTGCCACCATAACAAAAGCCCTTCTCATCCACGCCAGCCAACATTAAAGGAATCTACCCGAACAACTCAGAGCAATACAGGCTTCCAGATTCTCTCACCAGGCATATTTCCCTTCTGGAAGAAGAGGGCTCACAGAGGAATTTGGCCTCATTTGTCTGAGAGGATAAATGATGAAACAGAGGCTCCATTGACTCAAGCAAGAGGCACCTCAGGTTCAAACTGAGATTCATTCAATAATTCATTCAACGTTCACTGAATGCCCACTCTATCCTGGGCACCATGCAAAAATTGGACAAAAATACCAAACTAGTTCCTGTCCCTGCCCATTAAGATGCTTATAATTTAGCAATAATGACATAGTCTTAATATTTAGTGCTTGTTTCTCTCATCTACTGAATAGAAATGAAACCAGCTAATTTTACTGAGGTTTCTGCACAGGTATATAGAAAAAAGTATAAAGCTGTTGGGAGGTTAGGGTTAGAGGAAATGAACCTGGTATTATTGAGAAGAAGAAAAACCATAATGGAAAAATGAGTAATGGCATATTCAGAAGCCTGGAAAACAAGTGAGTGAAGAAAGAAGACAGAAGACAGAAGAGGCAGAGGGAACCAGAAGTGAGGGAGGGTCAGGCACATTTAGGGAGCTCAAATTAATTCAGTTGGAAAAAGAGGTAGGGGGCATATCATAATGGGTTTTATAAGCCATTGCAAAATATGTGAATTTCATCCAAAGACAATGGAGATGTAATAAAGGGTACATAGTGACAGTAGAAAGATTTCTATGGCTGCAGAGAGTTTCTTGCAGGGGGAGGCGGTTAGAGAAATGTCAGCTAAGCCATGACTATGGGGGAACTAAGGAAATGGTAACATTGAGCCTGCAAGGACCTGAGTGAATCTAGGAGATATTCAGGAGATGGAATAGGAAGCAGTGATTGATGTGGGAGTAAGAGAAATAAGAGACTTCTGGTGGATGGTGAGCTCCTCATTGAGATGTGAAGCACAGAAGTCCTCCTCATTTGGGGGAAGAAGCCTTAGTTTAGTTTTAGATATGTTAAATTTGAAGTTTCAGGGCCTCCCAGGTGGCGCAGCGGTTGAGCGCTAGGTTGCGAAGCTGCCCGCGACCTCTGCGGCGCCGGTTCAATCCCCGGCTGCTCCCTGGCCACCAGAGGCGGGTCCCACATGGCGCGCAGACCTCTCCTGCTGCCCACTGCTCCCCTCAGTAGTGTACTTCGGTCCTTCTGCCTGTTCTGCTACCTGCTCTGGCTCTGGTGAATTCTCTCACCCTCCCGCGCTTCTGACTGTACCCAGTGCTTGTATAAATAAATCTTTAAAAAAAAAAAAAAAAGATCTCTAAAAAAAAAAAAAAATTGAAGTTTCAGTGGGATATTCAAATACAGTCACTTCCTGTGGGCATTTACTGAACACCTACTATGTGCCAAGCACTGGTCAGGTTGAGTGTCCAACAGCTATAACAGCATGTGCCTAGAAATCACACCCATCTCCAGGAAGTGAGCACTTAGTGAACAGGGAAAGGTTAATTATCACACTATATTAAATGATTCTATATAGTCATTATAAAAATGGACATAAATTTAAAATAGCTGATCCATTTGCTAATTAAAAATATGAAAACCATTTATCTGACTGTTGGTAAACTAGTGACGCTAATAACAATAGGCCAGATTATGTGACCAAAGTAGTTTCCAGAGGAAGACTGGTATTTTGAGAAGTTATACTAACTCCCCACATCATGAGGTTACCAGTTTTTAGTATCTAGGAAGCAAATGAATTGAATAACCTTGTGGTTTAAAAAATTAAATTTATCTTACATTAATAAATAATAACAACAGCAAAACTTAACCTTAGGAAATGGTTTATCTTCAAATTTAAGAGAATAGATTAAACGAAGTATGAAACCCTTCAAAATCAAGACTGTTTTATAAGAACATGTATATGAAGAATAGGCCTCCCCAGAATGCTCAGCAGCCATTTGGAGCTAAGGTCAATGGAGGCTTTGAGGGCTTCAAGAGAAGCTGTTTTCATTACCTTGCAGAATGAAGATTACCCAGATTTAGGAACATCTCCAAAAATAACCTTTCTATTGAACAATTATCTCAAAGCATCTGATCTTGTCAAATATCACCCTTTTCTTCTCATGTGAATCCCCATCATCACTCATAGACATCTCAGGTACCTGTCTTCTAGCTCAAGAATACAAACCCTAGTCAGCTTCTTTTATTCTAGAATTAGTTATGCAAATTGTCCTTACACAAGTAATTAACTTTGTTCTCTTTCTCCTACTAATCGCTCTGGTGTTAGTTTGTTTACCATACCAATTCAACAAAAACCCAGAGGAATGGGGGGTGGTATTTCCCTCCCCACATGTTCCCACACATATTAAGTATATTATCACAAGTCACCTATCCCTAACTCTACAAAGATTAAAACAAAAATCTTTGATTTGGAACAAGGAAAAATATGAATTTGTAAGACAATTAAAAGGTAGTACAAGCCACTCTGAGAGATTATGAAATCTTTAAAAACAGATTTCAGTCATTAGGGAATCAACATGTAAAGCATAAGTGGGTAGCCAAAATATGGCATGTGGATTAATTCAAGTTATTGAGTCTCTCATCATCAAATCGTAAAATCAGAAGCTTCACATTATATAACTAAAACAGCCATTCCACTTAAATAAATAAAAGTAAATAATGCTCTAATAAACAATAACAGCTAACATTTCTGTACTGATTACAGTGTGCAGCACAGAGCTGAAACTTTTAGGGGAATTACCTATCTAATCCTCAGAATAACTTGCCTAAAAAGTAGGTATTTTTGGGCCTCCCTGGTGGCGCAGCGGTTGAGCGCTGGGTTGCGAGGCTGCCCACGGCCTCTGCAGTGCCAGTTCGATCCCCGGCTGCTCCCTGGCCACCGGAGGAGGGTCCCACATGGTGCGCAGACCTCTCCTGCCGCCCGCTGCTCCCCTCAGCAGTGTACCTCAGTCCTTCTGCCTGCTCTGCTCCCCGCTCTGGCTCTGGTGAATTCTCTCACCCTCCCGCGCTTCTGACTGTACCCAGTGCTTGAATAAATAAATAAATAAATAAATAAATCTTAAAAAAAAAAAAAAAGGTTTAAAAAAAAAAAAAGTAGGTATTTTTTATTTTCCCCGTCTCACAATTGAAGGCATAATATACTACTTGTTGTATTTTCCTCATTCATCAAAAAGAGACAATCTTTAATATAGTTCGCTGTAATAAATAGGCATGGCAGGGGCCTCCCCGATGGCGCAGTGGTTGAGCGCTGGGCTGTGAAGCTGCCTGCAGCCTCTGCAGCGCCGGTTCGATCCCTGGCCACCGGCAAGGGTCCCACATGGCACGCAGACCTCTCCTGCCGCCCGCCGCTCCCCTCAGCAGTGTATCGTCAGCTGCCTGTTCTGTTTCCCACTCTGGCTCTGGTGAATTCTCTCACCCTCCCGTGCTTCTGACTGTACCCAGTGCTTGTATAGATAAATAAATAAAAATCTTAAAAAAAAAAAATAGGCATGGCAAATATCTTTCTGTGTCATTGTTTTGCCTATCAGAATAAATACTGCATTTCAATGAATTGTGAAATATGTTATATTAACTTTCATTCTATTCTCAAAGATAAAACCAGTATGGGTCAATAGGAGGTTGCCACCTACTCACGATTACCCCTAATCAGAAAGTTTATATCCTGAGTCACCACTTCAGATTCAAACCATCTATTTCCCAATTAGAAATATTTAGTTTGCAAAGTTAGACGTTGCTATAAGCAATGAATCAAACTGCCAAGAAACAGAAAGAGGTTGTGTATTCTCTTTTAATATAAAATTTTTTGTTAAGTATACTAATAGTTTATTCCTGAGTAGTATACCACTTTTGTTCATCCATTCACCTGTAGAGTTGTTTACAGTTATACCCTATATATAATGCTGCTAGGAACATTTGGACACGTATATATAAATACACACTTTTGTTTCTTAACAGAAGATGCTTAATTATGGAATGACTAGATTGTATGATGGGAAGACATTTAACTTTTCAGAAACTGTCAAACTGTTTTCTAAAGTGTTTGTATAATTTTATTCCCACCAGCCATGGCTGGTGTGTGAGGAGGAAAGCTTAGGGTCAAAATAAGGGAGGTGGTGAGAATTGTATGGGGAATATAACCAAGATGAAAATGCATACATTGTGCAAAAATGAAAAATGATATAAAACTATATAAAATAAAATAAAAAATTAATATAAATGATTTAATACTAATCTTCTGGTATCCCTTCTTGTTTTGTACTTGATGCTTTGCCCTGTTAAGACTTTTAACCTCTCCATGGGCACAGTGGGGGAAAAACTTAAAAAAAAACTGGAATGCTGTTATTTTCTTATTGCTTTTGAAATCTGGTGTGGCGAAAAATCAAACTGCATTGAGAGATTGCTGTGGTGTTGGTGTTATATATGGTAAGGGGAGAAAACATTTTACAAATATATCATGAGTTGTAAGAAACTATAGAAAAGCAACATTTTATTATATTCAGAAACATACATTGTCCTTCCTTTTGTTCCATCTTATTTCATAAAGGCACTGATAGGCAATTCAAATAAGTACCTAGGACACAACTTGTATGCTTTCCCTATTTTATTTATTTTTTCTGTAGGTTTTGATGAGTAGATGTTGGTACCTTTTTTTCCCTTTTTCCACCCAGAGGGAAAAAAACTCAATATATTTTTCTTCTTGATTTCTCTGCT